TTTCATCCCTGAGTAGCCGTCAATATTTTGGTCATAACTTTCTTTTCCGATACCAAATTGAGGAGAATAAAAGTGCGTTGAAAAGTTAACTCAAATGTTTACAATTTTTTCTAGTAATACAAATTTTCCAATTCGAATGTTTGCTATCTTAAAAAATGGGTCTAAATATGAGGCTAAAAATCCAGAATATAACTTCTTTGGGTGGAAATTGATTTGTAAAAATATTTCAACTATATTTCACTCATTTGACCTTCAATTGCATCCAATTGAATCATCATTTTATGGTCTGAATAATTAACTATTGCGTTGAGTTCAACCTAACAAACATAATAATATAATTAAGATACAACACATTGAAATTACTAACAAATACTCTAATTTAATGGCCTAGAAAAGTATACACTATTAAAATCACGAAAAAATATATAATCCTTTCAAGAGATTTAGACGAAATACACGGCGATCAAGTGAAATTTAATTCCCCGCATGGTCATGCTATAAAATTAAACTCAACACGTAATCCGTTCAATACACTCCAAGTGTACTAGTCTCACCTTTAACTATTTCTATAATACGTAAGGACAAATCACAAACACGAATAGTGAATTGATCAGCACTACTACCTTCTAGTACAAGGTGTCAACCCTTATACATTGGTTGTGAATAAATTATTTATGATCAAAACATAAGTTGTGTCACACTATACTTCTCAATGCAAGTACCCAATTTATATTATCAAAAGTGATCATAGACAATTTAATTCGCATGTTCATTAATAAATAAATAAATAAATCACAATTTATTAATTATTATTTTATCATAACAAAGTATATTATATGGACACACAACCCAACGTTCACACGGAGGACCAGAAGCATAAGAAAAAGGAAGATATTCGTGTAAAGCCAGAAATTCCATAATTTTGAACCCTAGTTTTTTGCATTTCTTAAAATAAAAAAAGAGTAGAAAAAGAATAACGCGTATGGATGTTATCTTCAGAGTGACGAAAGGAATATAATTACTTACATTTTGATTTTGACTCAAAAGGAAAAACAAAAGAATAGGCATCAGACCTTTTTCAAATTGGTTTGCATCTTAGTTACTCCGCTTAATTAATTATGAACTTAAACATGTGGGTTAATGTATGTACAATTACTCACGTCTTTCTTTACGTGTCGGGGATGGAGACTAATTCCTTATTTCGTCCACAAGATCTTTCACAGAAAATATTATACGAACAAAGATGAATAACCCAGAAAGAAGTGCTCATTAATTGGAAGGGTGAAAGTAGTTAAATTCACTGCACACTTTCATATTGTATTATGTATTATATCATACGATTAAAGTTCTTACAAAAAAGTTTTCAAGCTTCGGTTTTAACCTCAGATTTTCGATGAAAAAATCTGCAACGAGTTTTTGATCTTCAGAAATAGATTTTTTCCCGCCGAGGAAGCCACATTCTTTTTTTTAGTTAATGGGGTTTCACTTGTGTACAGTAATAGATTTGCAGTTCTGGGAATAAGTCAAACTCAATGAAGCTGGCACGAGGTCATATATTTCATACAAGTTAAGCTTTTTTAGACGAGGTGACTCAACAACCTCTACATGGATTTGATAAGATACAAATTAAAGTGAATCCATTTTCAACTGGTAGATAAAATTTGAAGAGGCTGCAATTCTTCAGCAGGTGAACTGGCTTGAGGTGACAGGAAAATTGGACTTCAAGGCCTCCATTATGGATTTGCGAAAGTCTTTCAAAGGTTTACCATATCAAGATCGGGGAGGATGCATTCCGGTGGAATCGAGCTCCAATCAAATTTATGCTTAAAAACATAAAATCAACGGAAACGAGGTCAATCCAGAAGATACTAAGTCTTGCGAGATTGATCTCCAGCCCTACCAGGAGAGACCCTATTTCTGGCATAAAATCCCTGGTGGAGATTTCACAATCCACACAAGTGTAGGGAGCAGTTTGGCATGTTTGAAGTTGAAACTTAGTGGTGGAAAGGTGGAATGGTCATTGGAGGCATTTAAATTAAGCCCACAAAAATCCATTAACCATTAGGAGCTTAAAAATTGTACCAAGGACGCAGATGGAATTCAAGAAATTAACTTTAATATCATTTTTTCAGATATGTTAACCAATATGTCTCAACTTCTTGATGCATAGGATTCGAGTCAGACGATGTTGAGTTGTCCGATAGCTCGTTGATGACGCTGGGTACCATGAGTTGGCAGATCAACACAAAAATGGCAAGTAATCGATGACTTTTCCAAATTGGGATAGTTTTTGGACATGCTTTGGTATTTTTGCCATAACTTTGACTACGGTTATCAGAATCGCGCTTATAACCGCAATTCGGTGCGCATCGATTTCAAGGGCAAAATCTGATGTTTTCCTTCTGAATCCCCAAGTTCAGTTATTTATTTTTTCTTTTTTTGGTAATATTTTATTTGCCTTTTTAAAATGGATTATGAACTCGATTTGAGCCAAATTTTTGGGATATTATTTCTTTTGCTACGTACCTTCTTTTGGTATGACTATTGGAAATTTGCTATTTTTTGATAAAATTTCGATAATTACATTTTTCTAGTTATATAGCTCGGCTTGTGGGTGAGTGAAATAATAAAGATTTCTCTTGTGTTTCTTGGCGTTTTCTCTTGTGTTCTTTCTTGTGAATTATCTGTTGAAACTAGCATGTAAAATAATCGCTATTCTGTTTGGCGTCAATTCTCTACACATGTCAATGTTGTAAAATAAGGGTCATTGATCCTTTGAAAACCTACAGTGCACGAGATCATGATTAAGTAATTTAATGATAAATAGAGTGCCGAACCCACAAGGACTATGTCTTTGACAAAGTTTAAATTAATTTCAACTTTAATCGAATAGCAAACAAATTTTGTGATTTTGCTATACTAATATCTAAATTATCAATTAAACTAATGAAATTAAGTCAATGCGTTTTTCAAATATATAAGATGCATTGCTAAGATGTCGAATCATGCTTATTATTCCATTTTTAGTGTAACAATTAAAGTGACAATTTGAAAGCATTCATATTGATCAATGTTTTTTTTAAATTGAAAGCCTCTCTCGATAACAATCAAATCTATTATCCTCATGTGACAATTCTATCTCTCGATGAATTATGTAAATATGATAAATGCATTAACAAGTGTTAGAACACCTATTGAAACCATATAAAGTATAGATGTATATTTTTATTCTCTATTGAACCTTATAGTGTTTATTATATTGTGATTAAACCCTATTGTCTCTCTCGATAGCAATAAAATCCACTAAGAATTTAATTGGTGATCAAGCAATTGAAAAGAAGAATAAAAACGATAATAAATATCCACAAATCAAATCAAAATAAAGTCAAAATAATTAATTAAAAACTAAAAAATCATAACAAGGATTCATCTCATCCTAGCAATGTATAAAACTAGCACAACATATCGAAATTACAAGAAATCATATTTAAGTGAAAATACATAACCCGAATTTTTGATAAATTGAGAAGATGAAGATAAATCATGAACTCTTGAATTTCTTTAATGGTTTCTTGGCGAATCTACACTTACGCCTTCTCTTTTTGGCCCAAAAATCAATTTTGAATTTTCACTAGATTGAATTCTTGCAAGTCCTCTTTAATTCTCTCACGATGTCCAAAGTGATTTCCAAAAGAGTTTCAATTGAATAAGGAAAATTGCATTCACATGCAGAATATTTTGTCTCTGCATTGCAGTCAATATTTTATCATAATTTTCTCTCCCGATATCCGATTGATGCGATTCAAAGTGCGTTAGGAATCTAACTCAAATTTCGTTTTCCTGTTCCTGGTGGTATCAAAACGCCGCTATGTCGAGATATCTTATCGGTCTCTCTAGGAAAATGGATATCTCCAGAAAAGATTTTAATTAAGTTCAATTCTTTTATTTTCCTCTCCACTCGGACAAACCAACCTACTCGACTTCTTATATTTAAAGTAATTTGTGTATCTACCCCTGTGATTTGAAGGAGATCTCTCGAAAAGTATTTAGTGCCCATTTCGGTCAACTCTCCATCGTCTTTCTTTGGTTGAGAGGTATGTATTTCCACGGTGCTCGTTTTTCCAATTATAAAGTGTGGCTAAGTGGGTGGGTCGAAAAACTTATTGGGTACCATTACAACTTTTTTCAAAATAGAATTTTCCAATTCAGACATTTACTATGCAAAAAATGAATCTCAATTTTCGATTCTGAAATATAACTTGTGCGATTGGAAATTGATTTTGATAATATTTCATTCCTTTTTGAGTTCTGATTCCATTCAATTGTCTCCTAACAATTTTTTAAAATATCGTTTTGTGGTTCAAATGAACTATTGAATATTTGCAATTTGGTCCTCAAAGTTTGGACTTTGCCCTTTTCCCTTGATTTTTCTTTTCTTTTCTTTCAAATTTTCTCGGTGAACCATTGAATTTTACCTATATAATATAAAATAAAACAATTTAGGATATATTTTGTCAAAAGAATNAACCATTGAATTTTACCTATATAATATAACATAAAACAATTTAGGATATATTTTGTCAAAAGAATTATCAAAGATCGATATTTTAGGCTTTCGAATAAGTGTATAAATACACTTACCAGTCGTGCTAGGCTTCACCGCTGAGCTGTGCCAGACCCAACTCATCATTTTTAAGGGTCATGTCGAACGACCACATGAAAAATAAATGACGATAAAGCATCTATTACAGTAAAACCTATCCCCGACACCGCGTGGAAAGATATTGTTAACATGATGCAGAATCTGATTCTTAAGGTAGCAAGAGGATTCTGGTCTTATCTATGCACCACAAAAGCTGCATTATATGTTGACAAACGAATGGTTAATAAAGCTGGAGAATATTGTTCATTATTCACGGAGAATGACTCGATTAACCTGCCCTTCTTTCTATATAAACATGACAACGCTTCAAATAAAACTTCCAAACTAGTTTTACAATATGGGGCAAAGGTTGTCACAAGATACAGATTCAGAGTCGACAATTGAAGAACCAAATCATGCACAACCACAGATAAAGAACACTGATCATGCCAAAGAAATTCAAACGGTGTCACTGCCTCATAATTGTGACAACATTTTGAAAGATGCCGATACACCTGTAGATAAATCCTTGACAAATAACCTATATGATCAACTTCGTGCTGGTGTATTCTTGAACCAAAAGAGGAAGGCAAGTCTGCTATTAATTTCTTTACGGTGTTATTAATATTTTATTTTGACAAATTAGAATATAGAGTACTGTATGTTTGATGTTAGAACAGATCACTTTTGGCGTATGATAACAGCAATTCCATCCTTCAATTAGCATGCCATATAGTTCTTACAGATAAGTTCCTTATGCAGAAGTACTGGGTTGAAAGGGAGTCAAATATCAACTGCTTCATGTTGTTTGCACAAGACCTCTTAATTACCTGGTCAGACGACAAACGGTACTGGCATTGGTCCATGCTAAAAGAATCAAGGTAATCTCAACAATTATCAGTACAAAGTAGCTAGACTGAAATCTCCCCCGAAAGTATGGATACTAGGTGAGATCACAAAACATCCTGAAGTCTCACCTCAAGATAATCCAAAAAAGAGGCACCTATGCATTTATGAGAACAAAGAGGTTGGCTAACTATTTTTCTTTCATTAAGGACAAACCAATCATATCAGAGAAACACATCTATTCTTATTTTAAGTGGGATAACACATATGCCATAACACTTCTAATTTAGACTTCGAAAATCCTGAGGCTATTTTGTGTTTTGCAGTGATGAATGCTTTGCTGTTGCTGAACTGCTAAACGTTTGCTGGCTAGATGTTCATGGAAAATTCGATACAGCTAACCTTTCACCGGGAATAATGTATGAAGTCGTATTTGTCGTGATGCTGAAAGATCCTGCATATGGCTGGGAAGTTCCTGTGAATGTTAGACTCACTCTACCTGATGGAAGCACACAACAACAAAAAGTAAAATTGATGGAAAAGCCAAGAGGACAGTGGATAGAAATCCCAGCAGGAGAACTGAAAACATCATCTCATCAGAACGTAGGAGAAATGGAAATTTCACTGTATGAGTACGAGGGTGGCAAATGGAAGAGAGGGCTAATGGTAAAAGGTGTTGTCATCCGGCCAAAACCCTGAGTTCCACAGCATTCAAACATTATCAACCAACATGCTGTGACAGGGTGACATGTGCTTTCATAAAACTAGTTCTCATAGTAAATAATGAATAATCATCCCCTCAATCCTTGAGTTAGTTCTTTCGAGATAAAGTGAGAGTCCCTCCATAACAAAGCTCATTCTGGTCTAGAACTTTTAGTGCTTGTGAACTATTACCAAAGGAACATCTTCCGTGTGTGTCATGACATATGAGCAATGTCAACTACAACATTGATCCTTCATGAGGCCATATGAATGTTGAATGCCACGTTCAAAATCTCGTGTACAAAAATCTTGCACGTGACGAGGTGTGTTGAAGATAAACAAATTAATCTTGCACGTGACGAGGTGTGTTGAAGATAAATTTTAACTT